AGCGTATTGACAAGCTTGTGGAATATGCAGCTAAGAATGGTCCTGAATTTGAAGCCATGATCCGTGAAAAGCAGCAAGATAATCCTGATTACAATTTCCTCTTTGGTGGAGAGGGGAATGGTTACTATAGGTACAAGCTTTGGTTATCTACACGTCCCCAAAGTGGACCCTACCCTTCCTTTCCACCCTCTTCAGTACCTATGATGCACCCTCCTACTAATCCTGCTATGAATCCTTCATCTTTGAATGCACCACCAATCGGCACTGCTCCTCCTCCTCCTCCTCAATTGCACCAACCTGCTTTTCCTCCATTTTATGATCAGCAGCATCACTATCAGCATCCTCGGCCTTTTGTTGCTCTTGGCCGGCCAGATTATGTTCAGTCCCTCAAAGGCCTTCCTGGTCCAATCCCCTCTGATGTTGCGATGGAGCTTACTAACATGCTTAGCAATCTAAATGGTACCAAAGAGTCAATCAAAAGCGCCAAGATATGGTTCTTGCAGAGGTCTCCATTTGCACCAGCTTTGGCTGAGGCACTTAGAGATAGAATATTTACTTTGGATGATTCAGAGAGGCAATTGCATGTGATTTACCTTGTCAATGATATTCTTTTTGACAGGTACTTCTTATGGCATATGGCACTGTTGTTTAGTTTGCAATGGCTTCTTAAACAGATCCTGTAATGGCTCTTTGTATGGTTTGCTGCAAATGATTTATGCTTTATGAGACATTACTTCTGTTTTTCTTCCCGATCTCTTGATACCATAGATCTCTTTCTTCCTCTCCTTAATAACATTATATTCTTTCCTTTTTGTTTTGGTACTTTTCCAGTCTTGACTTGCATTCATGTGATTATTTAATTAAAATTGAACAGTGGTATTCTAGATTAAAGTTCTCCCCTTAGATTACTTATCTATATTTTTCTGAAACTTGATTAACTGACCTTGTGGTTCTTACCTCACACACATGGGGATGTGTCTTTTCATTGTAATATAACATTGTCTTGTGTTTTAGTTATCCAGTCATATTAGATTGATGGACTCTTCTGCTAGTTGGTTCTTGCCTTAGGGTAAAGGACTACTATGAGGGAGGTTTTTAATGAGGCCTCCTATTTCTATCAAAAAAAAAAAAAGATTGGAGTCAGAACTCAGAAGGTTCATAATCATACATAACTATCCTTATTAACTTCAATTTTGTAATTGATGAGTAAAATATCTTTGTTATATCTGAGACATGCATCTATATATTATTGGCTAATTTGTCGACTTGCATGATATTCTAGGTCACATTCAATACAACTTTATAAGAAATCAACTTAAATCAACCTTCCTCTTTAAAGCATGGCTTACATTCTTCTATAGTATCTGTCAATCACTTCAGCACCCAGATTGTATTCTCTCCAAAATTCATGATTGCTTCCTAGGACTTAGCATGGTGTATTGGCATGGTCACTCTTCTTGTTGTTCCCTGGTATTGATGCCATAATATGACTGCTCCTTCAGAACCTTCTTGACATTTCTCTTCAATATTTGCAGTTTGCAGAGAAGGGCTAACCTCGTGACCTTGATAATGAAGCCCTTGCGTTTAAACCTGTTTTAGGTTCAATGCTAGCAAGAATATACCACAATCCTCAAAATGAGGAAAACCGATCACGTTTACAGAGAATTTTGCAGTTTTGGGCATCCAAGGAAGTTTACAGCCAAGATGACATATATGCCCTTGAGAGTGAGATGGTTAGTGGACCACCAACCAGTTCTTTTACTGGGCCTCCAAAAGAGTTATCTCTTGATTCAGTGGAGTCATCAATGCCTGCAGGTTGCCTCTTCTATTCTAATAAAGGATTTGGGTCCTTATGTGTCATTTCATGTATTTCTGATTTTTCTTTCTTAAAATTTTACTGTGCAGGAATCTACAGGATACTACACACAATAATGTCTCTATGTGGCAGCCTGACAAACAAAGTTCTATTCCAAATGTGCTGGACCAAGCTGATAAACAAGGGGGGCCTGCCTCACTTCCATCGCTAGTAAACCAGCAATTTCTTCCGAATTCAGTCCCTACTGGAGATTTTCCGGGGTCTGTGCCCCCAAATTCTAATCTTCAGTCTTCTAGCCAGCAACAATCAGCAAATATTGGTGAAAAGTTGCCCCCATACCCACTTTTCCCACCTGGTCTTATTCCTGGAATGGTTAGAAAAATGCAAATTGGGAGTGGGGTGCCTTACTGCCCCCTCAGTCCTTTGGATATCCCAACAGTTATACCTCCATCCGATGTATCACCATCAGAAGTTCTCGAGAGAGTATCAAAATTTTTCAAAGAGATTGGAGAGGTTAACCCTTCTGAAGGGTCCATGAAATCTAATTTTAGAGATGAAGATGATGAGTATGAGATGGAACCTCCTGTTCGTAGGGGAGGAGCTTGTATCCCTCCGCCTCCAAATCAGCAGGTAGACCCAGATTCAGGAGCTTATACTGAGCAGAAACCAGGTCCCAGTGGCTCAGGTAGATTAGGGCTGGGAGCAACAGCCAATCCCAATGAGGCAAGTCAATATGATGATGTTTATACATCTTATAGAAAACAGAGAAGCACCTCGTACCATTCATCCATGAGTGCACGAGCTGCTACAAGGTAAAGCCTTTCAAATATCGTTTGAATATCCATAGAGAATGGAATCATAGAGTCCTCCTTGTGCATTTATTTGTTAGAAATATTATTAACTTTCTTCGCACAAAGCAGGGAAGAAGCTTGAAGTTTTGCAATTATGCGTTTGTTGAATTTTTATTGACGAGAATGGAAGTTTGGTCATGCATGGATTTATTAATCTCTTATTTTACCAGACTGCCATGTAATTAGAAAGATTGGGTTTGCAGAGCATGATCTTCCATCTAGTGCAAATTGGGTTCCAACCTAAAATGTTACAACCGAAAATGTTTTTGAAAACATACCTTGAGTATTGGTACTATGCAATGAGTATCGAGACTACATACATATTTAGTACTGGTACTGGATGTAGTATCAGTACCCTTGTAAGTCACGAAATTTTTTGCTCAAAAAATGAGTATTGATACCTTAAGAACAGTATTGATAATGTTCATTTGGTATCGATACTCAAGTATCGATGCCATTCGAGGAGTATCGATACTTCTGTTGGAGCACCGATACCAGCGTCCGGGTTTTGTTGATATATAGCCTTTGCGGTGAGATTGATTTTTTGAAGCGGGCACATACGTGGTTGTACGTTGATTTTCTGATGGAACTCAATGCTCATTGTAAACATGAATACCCCACGTTTTGTGTTGTAAGATGGTGTATATCATGAACTGGGAGAATCCAAGAGGGTTAGTCACTTTCGTAATTAATTTTTTATTACCATAATTTAGATTTCATCTAACCTTGTAATGTTTTCGTAACATTTTTGTGTGTTATTAAACGTGATGCGTCCGTGGCTTGTTTAGTTTATAAAAACGGCACAACTATTGATAAATTTAGAAAACAAGAAAATATGTATGGATCGAAAAAATAATTAATTAATTAATTTAATCAGTTAGTTCAAAGTTACAGGGTTCAATAACATGATATAAAACACAAGAGGGTTAAGCACGTTCGGTAAATTATTCATGAATAATTTGTATAACAATTATTTATGTTCATTTATTAAATTAAATAAGTGAATATAAGCAAAGTTTTTATATTTATTTAATAAATGAACGACCACGAATAGAATTGTGTTTGATTTGTTTATGTTCACTAACAAACTTGCTTATGAGTTCATTTATTAATTCGTTCGTTTGTATTTAGGAACATGCTCGTTTAATGATTCATTAATAAGATTGTTTACTTTTTATTTGCTTATATTTTAAATATTAGTGAATGTATGATTTAAATTTATCACATTGTAAACTATGAAATTTACCGACTTTAAGTATTAGTGGCATATGTTTATCATTTTTAGCTTGCAAATGAATATGTTGGTGATCATATAAACGAACGTCAAACGAGTATGTTTGTGAATAGATAAACAAACATATTCGCGAACTCTAAACGAATAAATACAAACACTTTCAAAAGTAAATAATAAATACGAACACAATATTAAAAACTTAAATACAAACGAACATGAAAAACTTCAAAAGTAAACAAGCGAACACGAATATAATCTTATTCGTTCACTGTCGGTTCATTTACACTCCTAGCAAGAATCCTAACCAACAACAGATTCAGACATTTTACACGGGAGAGAGTTGATCCTTGTGCACCTGCAAATACGACTCCCTGCACCAACTTAGACGTGCATCCTCCATTGACAGAAGTAGATGCCTGCAAATAAGAGATTGGCCTTAACTAGGAATGTCAATTCCCCCACCTGCATCTTAGCCATATTAGTTCACTATCTAAACTATCATAAATGAAGTTGTAAGGATTCGATTATACAAATAATCCTGAAGATGCCAAAATTTACACACAAACATGAAAGCCTGTTTGAGATAGCTTGAACTCAAACCTTATAGTTACTCCACATGCCTAAAACAAAGCACATAGCAAGCCAAACCTCTTGGTTTCCACTCAAAATACAAAGGTCGATGAGATCAAAAGAGAGAAGCGGCCTTGAGATCAAAAGAGAAAATCTCGATAGCAGCAACCGAAGAAGAAGATCTGGTTCAGTGACTGGAAGAACTAGGAACTACCAACGGCGCCACCAACTGCGACTTCGACGATGACGCGAGCCAAGTAGCCGTCCTTCTTCTTCTTCTTCTTTGCCTAGGGTAACTTTCCCCCCCAAATCTCCCATCTCAACATTTTTTCTTCTTTCCGCTTAACTGGGAAATATTCTTTCCCGGTTTTTTTTTCATCCACGGTTACTATTCTATTCTTTCATTTTAAAACTCATCCAACGGTTCATAAATAACAGCTTTTTGTTAACCTTATTTTTACAGGTTTTATATTAGACTTTCCCCACAACCTCACCCAGCCTCTTTCATTCGCTCACCCAGCCCTCACCGTTTCGTTTTGGTATATTGAAAAACCTATCTTTTTAAGCTTTCACTTTGTTTCTTCCCCTATCTGGAACCCAATATTGAAGGATTCAGAGGGAAATGCAGAGGCGCTTGTTGTCTTCTCCTTCAACTACTAATTGCGCAGGACTCCGTCTTCACCCGTCACTGATGCCCAAGGTTCATTTTTACCTTCTTATAAGTAGATTACTTAATTTTTATTCGATGAAACTAGATTACTTATAATTGGGTCCTTCCTTCTTGTTACATATATCTTGTTTGTGTCATAGTTTTTACTATATCACGCAATTTATCAACAATGGTAGTAATGTATTCATAGCTGTTTGATTGAATAAGGCAGCAACATGTTAGTAAGTTGGTAAAATGATGCATCCAAAATTTCATTTGCTTATCTATTAACTGATTGTGCATTGATGTTTCAATTTCAGCTCAAGGTCGTTAAACTTATGTCTTCAATACCATCTCACACTAGATTTAAAAAACTCAGACCCCCTCCAAGCCTCATGTCGAGTCAACTAAAATGTGGTCAACCTTTGAATTTTTTCTCAACCCTTCACAATTCCTTCATGTTTGTTTTGCCACCCAACCACTTAAGTTATAGGCTACCTTGGAATAGAAATGTAACCTCAACATGTGTGACTTCCAATGTTATCAGATCAACCTCAGCCTTTGTGCCACTTTCCAAAATGTTTTTTTCTCAATCCCCTTCAGTGGCAGCTAAGAATGATGGTACGGGTGCCAGAGATGGAAAGAGCACTGGCTTCAGCTTCAGACGGTTTAATAGGCATTCGAAGAAGCTCAAGGGAGTAGCTGCTCTCAATGGTAACAAGGGTGTGCCTTTTGAATCACCTGCTTCAACTTTACTTCTTGACAATGCTAAGCCAGACTCTACTTCCAATGCACTTGTTAACACTTCTAGGCCAGAGTCTACTTCTACTTCATTGGGTACCAATGCTAAGCCAGAATCTAAAGTTAGTCCGAAAAAGAAAAAACAGTCGAGAAGTAAGAACCAAAAGGAACAAATTTCTAGCACTGTTGTTTCCACAGAGGAAGCACCTGTGGTGAAAAGCTCAAAAAATTCTTCTCTGGTAGGGACCTCAAATATTAGCAAAAAAGGTCAGCCTCCCAAACGGACTTCAGAGGTTAGTAGTGATTAAATGCTAAATAGAATTTGGATTTCTGGGGCTTTTAATATGCATGCAGATTTGTCTGTTTGTTGTGTATATAGCATTCAGAATAACAGATATGCATTTTCACTATCTAAATATGTGTGTCTGTGCATGGTTTTAAATCTTTCAAAAGTTTATCTAATAATGCAGTTTTCCAGAAAAATTCAACTGGCAACTTACTTACTGAAGCTCTTGATGGTTCTGCTTTAACCAAAAAGCAGTCCAAAAAGAAAAATACAGGCCCAAGCAGAAGGCAGCCAGTGAGAGAAGACAATGAGCCAATTCAGAAACAGGTGCAGAAAAAATCATCCCAACGAGAAAAGCCGCTGAAGCAACTATATCCTCCCACTGGGAAGTCTGTTATGGTGGTTGAGTCTGTCACAAAGGCGAAGGTTATTCAGGGCTACCTTGGTGATATGTTTGAAGTCTTGCCTAGCTATGGTCATGTTAGGGACCTAGCTGCTCGTTCAGGATCTGTGCGACCTGATGATGATTTTAGCATGCTATGGGAGGTCCCTAGTGCTGCATGGACGCATCTTAAGAGCATTAAGGTTGCACTGTGTGGGTATGTAGCATTTTTAGTGAAAATCTTATCATGTTTTTGTCAGTCTTACGGTCTAATTTACAGATGTTGCACTAAATGAAAATACTTCTCATATTTTAAGTTTCACAATATAGTTTAACCTATCTGGATGTATAATGTTGTTGAAAGAGGGTATATTTGTTGTATTCCTATCTATCGCTTTTAATGAATTCTTGAAACCAATCTTGTAAAGAGAAATCTTATGATATTATTTAAGTGATACAGACATGTTTTAATGTTATCATCGATGATTGTTATCGATTCTTTCAGTTGTTTTTGTTAATATATTTTTCAGTTTCTCATTTTTCTTTCCTTACTCAGAGCAGAAAATCTTGTTCTTGCATCTGACCCAGACCGTGAAGGGGAGGCTATTGCTTGGCACATCTTAGAGATGTTGCAGCAGCAGGATGCTTTAGGTGAAAATGTTACTGTAGCAAGAGTTGTTTTTCATGAGATAACCGAGGCATCCATCAAAAGTGCTTTGCAAATGCCACGGGAAATTGATGTTAACTTGGTACATGCTTATCTTGCCAGACGTGCTCTTGATTATCTGATTGGGTTTAACATTTCACCACTATTATGGAGAAAACTACCAGGTTGCCAGTCTGCTGGACGAGTGCAATCAGCTGCTTTGTCTCTTATTTGTGATAGAGAAACAGAGATTGATGAGTTTAAACCACTCGAGTATTGGACTATTGAGGTTCAGTTGAAATTTGAAGAATCAAATACTGTAGTAAAAGATGCTTCTTTCCCTGCACACTTGACTCATTTTAGTTCAAAGAAGTTAGGTCAATTCTCAATCACTTCAGAGACAGAGGCAAAAGATGTTCAGCAGAAGATTAAATTAGAAAATTTTAAAGTGATCAACTCTAAAAGAAACACCACCCGAAGAAACCCTCCTGCACCATATATAACATCGACACTTCAGCAGGAAGCTGCAAACAGATTAAATTTTCCTGCAACGTATACAATGAAGGTTTGCAAGTTGCTTTCTTTTTAATTTTATAGAACTATGGAATTTTAGTAATCTTCCTTTATCATCTGCTCTCTATCATCTGCTCTCTGTGAGTTAAACTTAGTTTCATAGTCTCAAACGTTTGAAAGTCTCTAATTTTATACTTCAAAATCTTTTTGCAGTTGTTCCTCCTTTTATTGAAAGACTTTGTCTGCATAGCAATGATATTTTCTTCATTAAATGTTGATTTTCTGTTTTGACTGCAGTGTTTGGTTTTACTCTTTACATAGTTGCTTTGGACTTTGTGGTAAACTCTATGGTTGATTGATGAACTCTTATAAGTTGACATGCTTTATTTGCTTTCCTTTTATGTATGCCTTTTGTATCCTTTTCACTCTTTACTGATATTTTCACTCTTAATTAATGCAGCTTGCACAGAAGCTTTATGAAGGGATTCAATTGTCAGATGGTGAGGCAACTGGGTTGATAACATACAGCAGAACAGATGGGCTGCATGTGGGTACATCTGTCGTCTCTCTATTTCTTGCTTAGGTTGTGTTTTCTTTCAAACCCCCCCCCCAAAAAAAAAAAAAGTGAAAGGTATTGTAGCGTGCATGTGCCCTGCACGAGAAGTCTTCATGTGTCTTCCTATGTAGTGTTTTCGAGGTGTCTTTTATTCTAATAAATAATAATTACAGTAATAGAAAATTAGAGGTTGGTTGAGCTAGGCTGAGGAAGACGTGTTACAATCATAAGTAATACCTGTTAGCAATAATTGGCAGTAAAGGTGTAAATTTACTTTGGATTCTTGGGAAGACAGTAGTTAGAGATTTCTTGCCCTAAAAGGTCAGAAAAGATGGAAAATATTATAGGTTACTTCAAGTTCCTTAATTGCATTTCATTGGTTGTTTGGGGCATACACTTTTGCTCTTGGTAAGGATATACCTTATCCTTAGTTCATATCTCTTTCAAGCTCTTGGAAAGGGTGATACCTTATCTTCATTTCATATCTCTTTCAATAGAGTACTCCTCTCTCGATGTTAATTAGTTTATATGCTTCTTGTCATGTAAATTATTATTCTGCTTCTTGATCTGTGCTACTGTGGTAGAACACGAATTAATACTAATTACCGAACTTTCAGTTGTATGGATATTTTGTGTATAATGTTCTCTTGACTCATGCGTCTGTCCCAACTCTCTAGGTTTTATTTTCTGCCCTAGTTTTGATATAGTTGGTGATCTTTTGGGGTTTATAATACTCTCTCTTTATTATGTTAGATTTCTGATGAAGCTGTTAAGGACATTCGTTCCTCGGTTACGGAAAGGTGATTTTTTTTTTTTGTATCTGAATTGTTAAGCTAAAATATTTTGTCTTCTTTACCTGGGTGCTGATATCCTGACAATATGCCTGTGCTAACGGTTTTTGCCATGCCAGTTATTGTTGCATATCTATAATGTTACTTGAAGTGAACAATTGATATATTATCATATGTAACTTTAATCTTATACATTTGTGTATCCTACATTCTTACCTCTGTTTTCTGGTTGATTGTTATGATCAAAGTCTATTATCCGTTTTGTCCTTTCAAATTTTTAGTGTGGTAAAATAAGGTATCAATTTTTTCCTTGATAGACACCAATTTACTGTAGGTTGCATTGCAGTTAAAGTGACTGTTCAATTTTTTGGCAAGTATCTTCATCTTCTAATTTGCTGACTATAAATAAAAACATAAATTTATGCAGATATGGGCCACGTTTCACCCCAGAAAATGCTTGTAAGTATTATAAGAAGGTCAAGAATGCTCAAGAGGCTCATGAAGCAATTAGACCCACCAATATTCGGAGGTTACCATGTAAGTGAACAGATTTGTTTGTTCTTTTACATGTTATGTTTTTACTTTGAACTGTTCTGCAGATATTTTATTTTTTAGTGTGAAATCTCGGTGCCAGTTTACAACTGAACTGTCCTTAATGCCAGCAATGCTTGCAGGAGCACTTGATGAAGATTCATTGAAGTTATACACTCTTATTTGGTCAAGAACAATGGCATGTCAAATGGAACCTGCAATCACAGAGCAGGTTGGAACCTAAATTCTCATCAAATGTTTATTTATATGATGGTTCTTTTATTCATTAGCTTCAATCAGAATAAGCTGGCTTGATTACTCACCATCATTTTGTGGCCATTGTGATTCAGAACAAGCTGCATTGATTTCTTGCTCTGGAAAAAATCTTATTTCTTTTTTTTTAGTAATTGCATTTACTTGCGTGTGGTTTCTCTGTTTCTTCTATATAAATGCTGAAATGGATAGTGTGTCTTGTTATTATCTGCATTGTTGTGAACCATTATACTACCATCTATGTAACACCTAGCATTCATTGTTCTAAGCAGATGCAACTTGAAATCGGGAATTGTGATGAGTCTGCCATTTTCCGATCTTCATGCTCAAGAGTGGAGTTCCTTGGCTATCAGTCTGCTTATCAGGTATAATATACTGTTTTCCCTGTATATATGTATGTGCTGCATACAATTTCTGGTTGCTCCTATCAGTGTTTAATGCGGATGAATGAGGAGATCTCCTTGTTCAACATGGAAAATCTGAATGCATTGTGGTCTACTAATGGTTATTTATGCTTGTTTCTTCTTTATTTTGCAATGCTGTCTACTACATGTGCATTTATATTGTTGAAGTATGGATGGTGGTAAATTTTGTCTTTGGACATAAAATGTCATCACATGGTATTTTGTTTCTGAATTATCTACTTTTTTACTAGTATTTTCTATATTTTAGTCGCTTATACAGTTTATGTATTATCTATTGGCGTTTCATAGTTCTTATGGTAAAATCAGTTATGATTGAGCTAATGGTTTTAATTGGTAACTGAAGTAGCTGTGATTCAAATCAAAATCACATGCTAAATCATTATGGGATTTCTTAATTTTCTTTATTATTGTTACTAAATAGTTTTAATTTTTTTTTTGATAGAATAAGGCCTCATTAAAACCCCCCTTCTTATCCTCCATGTTACAAACATAACATGAAGGACATTGGAAGGAGGGAAAGAGTGCCTCTAACTTTTATTAATAGGAACAATAAAACACCTCCACATCTCAACAACAACAACTTCTTACACAACAAAACTACCATAATTCTGAAAGCATAAAACACCCTAATACACTTTTAATATTAACAACCAAGACAACACCTAAACAGTTACACAACTAAAATCAGCCTATGCCAGCTTTAGCTAATTCATCAGCTTCCCAATTAGCTGCTCTCGAGATGTGCCTTGTGATAATACCCTTCCTCTCCACAGCAGAAGCTATATCCGTTACCAAGGATTGGAACAAAGTAGAACTAAGGATCGGATTATTAATCCACTTCAGAGCATTAGAAGAGTCTGATTCCAAAATAATCCTCTGTTTTGAAAAGAAATCAGTTTCAACTTCCTCAATAAGAATCAACCCTCTATTAATAGCCAAAAGCTCCGCGAGTAAAGGAGGACCTCCCCCAACCTTCTCTGAAAATGACCCAAGCACCAACCCGCTGCAATCCCTAATCAAGCCACCTATACCACCCTTATCCCAATCTTTAACCATTGCACCATCAATGTTTACTTTTAAAAACCCTTCCGGAGGAGGACTCCACCTGGAAGAAGGAAGATTCTTCTTATGCGAATTGCCAAGTTGATCTGCAAGTTTTAAATCACCCATCAAAGAATCGAAATGAAAGTGAACATCCTTAACTGATATTTCAAACCAAGAAACAGTTCTGAAACGTGTAATGAAGAACAACAACACTGGATCAACCTTCCCATTCTGAAAAATCACCTCATTCCTACATTTCCAAACAGACCACAATACTGCTCTTGGAATAAACTTCCATATGTGAGATCGTGGCACTATTTTCTGCAAAGTTTCAATTTTATATGAATTTAAGTTTATAATAAAAGGTAATTAATATGGATAGGAACATGAAATTATCTAGGACTGTAATTCTGGTTTTACGGGTTTGATTGCGTTTTATACATAAATTTTGGTTATTTTGCTGTAATTAGTATGCTACTTCATTTTCAAGTATAAGTAATTTAGTGTCATATTTGGTGTTGTGTTTCAGGGCTTAGGGGTTTTTTAGTTATAAGTACACATGTTATTTTAGTTTCTTGAGGTATTGGGTTTACATTTTTTTTATAAAAAAATTTGAGTATTAATTATTGAAGTTTCACAAATTTTATCGAGATTTTAGGTTCATTCTTTGGTGATTTGATTTGAAAATACTTGTTCTACATTGGAAGCAACATGAAGGTTTACTTGTAACACATGTGACATGATTGCATGTATGTCTAAAAAATACTGACCCCTTTTTCTGGTTTCTACTTTTCATGGTCTTTTAAATTTCTAGGATGATGAATCTGAAACAATCGGATTTAAGGATAACGAAGTAAACCGCTATGCCGAGACTTTTGGCATTCTTAGTTCGTTGAAGGTACTCATTTTTCATTTGATTTTCATTTTTTTAAATATTTAATATTTTGATCTCCATTATGCTTCATAGGGTTTCTATCATATAAAATTTTCTCAGTTGGCCTTTATAGAATATAAAAGATTAGCTGTTGAAGTGAATGATTTGGAAAGTGTTTGTAAAATTTTATGTTCCTTTTTTTAGTTTGCACCATTGCTGACTGATTTGTTTTGCAGAAGGGGGATCGGTTATATCTTGGTGAAGTAGAAACCAAGCAGCATCATACTCAGACACCACCACGCTATTCTGAAGGATCATTGGTATATCTTCTTTACATAATGACGGGAGTGCTTGCTGGCACTTCTCTTATTCAGTGAATTACTATGGCATCATGATTAAGCCATTGCACAGAAATATGATGTGTAAATGCTATCATATAACATACACCAAGATACTTTCAGCTTTTGGACGAAGCATCCGAATTGTTTTGCACATACTGTTCTTTCTTTCCTTCATATATGTTTATTTGGTGTTGATGGTGTAAAATATCCAAATATCATTCTATTCGCTTCTTGCTGAGTGCATGCAACATGGGTTTAGGGAGGGAGACAGTTATTTGATTATGCTGGCTTTTCTTTGTATTCAATGGCCCTTTCTTACCTCCATAATTCTGCATTTTTAAGGTTAAGAAATTGGAGGAGCTTGGAATCGGTAGACCTTCGACATATGCCTCAACATTGAAAGTCTTACGGGTTAGTAATAATGTTGAAATGATCAATTTTCAAATTCACCTTACTTTTGATCAAAGTTGAATGAAGCTTGTTTCAAATGCCAGATACATTCTTGTTACCTAAAATGAACTAAGCTTCTCAATAATGTTCTTTTTAGCTCTGGATTAATAATATGGATTCAAGTGCATGCTTGGTAAGATTTTTCTTTTCGGGGCATTCACTCAGTTTCATAAGTATGATGACACAAAAGTTTTCATTGAAACTTCCTGGAATTTGAACTATTTTGAATTGCTTAGACTGTCTTGATAACATTGGATTTTGTTTGAAAGACATGGTTGATTTCATTAAGATATGACATCAGGGATTTTTAAAAAAAAATTACCAATAGTAAGAAATTAATGCACCAAGAACCCTCCACGCTTTAGCTAATTCAGTATTACCACCTCAAAGAACAAAGCCAAAATATTCAGAATACACGACTGATGTAAAGCTGTATCCCTTTAGAACAACATAACGAAGTGCTAAATTTCCCAAACAAACTCAACCTGGCAAGTACTTTTAAAGGCCTAATTCGGTAGAAAATGCATAAGGTCTTTGAAAACCTGCTTGAAGTGATCACCTTGTGTTGTAGTCCATCATGCTTCTTTCTTACTGGTTACAAGCCAAAAGAAGTAATTACTATGTTGTTTGATTGTTCTTTCTTAATTTGATGCCATTGGTTTTATTATATGTTACAATTTTTCCTGTTCTTTTTCCTTGCAACTGTTGCAGTTTATTGATCTTATTTACCGTCAACTTTTATATTGACAAGATATATTCTAATATGACCTTTCCCATTTTATTACATCAGGATAGAAATTACATGACAGTAAAAAATCGTGTATTATACCCAGAATTTCGCGGTCGCATGGTATGTTATCTCATTTTTGTTCTATTTGATTTATTGTAGTTAATGCTTTAGATTAACTTAATAAGTTCAAAATTTTCTTTAGTGTTGTTATCCTTAATCCATTAGTATTGGGTTTCTTGTGGTTTTGTATTAACGTTGCACATTCCACCTATTTCCAATTGAACATAAGTTGAGTGCTTAACCTGGTGTCGGACCCAATGAGGACGTACATGTGTTGGCCTTAATTTAGCTATACGTGAGGGGAAGTGTCAAGTTGTCTTGTCCAACATCTATTGAGTATTACTGTATTGGATTTATTGTGGCCTTACGTAAGGTTGAGCCCTCCATCAATTAGCAATTGATATTAGGTTTGATGCAATAATAATTTAATTAGTGTTAGGGAGTTAACGTTTCAAGTAACACACTTCTTGCTGCAATTAGTGATAAGTAGTTGTTCATGTAGAGCACAAGGTTCTTAACCTTGAGGTCGTGGGATCGAGTCCCACGGAGGGCATTTCATAATTCGGAGGTCTCTTACGGAAGCTGCTCTCAACCTGGTGTTGGGGATAGCCTACTATCTTACCTCCCCCTTACCCCATACATATGGGAAAAAGGGACAGCCATTTTTAGTTGTTCATGTAGCCAAATATGGGGAAATTTTATTTGATACAAGAAAGTAGTACAGTTGAAGTATATTTTATCAGTAGGTGGTTTTTGCATTTTGTCGAATTTACAAAAATATACTAATTTAAAGTAATTAATATATGTAATCAAGTTGGGCTTCTAATTAACTATTATTAGTGATTTTAAGCACGCTTTCAAATCTACTATTCTCTAATACATTCGGGATGATGTCTAGGTCTCAGCATTTCTCTCTGACCATTTTTCTGAGGTCAATGATTACAGTTTTACAGCTGATATGGAGACAGAAGTAAGTTGCAGACCGCTTGATTGTTGTACTTGTAGCTTAAAGTCTTTTCAGTTTGTTGGGTTTGAAGTAGTTGGAATGTGGCTTCTTTACGTTAGAGTAGTGTTATTGACATGTTTCACTTGTCACTTGTATTTACAGCTTGACAATGTTTCACTTGTCACTTGTATTTACAGCTTGACAATGTTTCTGCTGGATTAACTGAATGGAAAGGGCTCCTTAGGGACTACTGGGCACGTTTCAGCTCATATTGTAGTCGTGCTGCGAGTGTTCACATTCATCAGGTATCCCAAGCCAGTCCCATCCCTTACTCAAGCGTCACAGTTTTCTCTATTTTTTACTTTTTTATCTTACAATATTTTCATTTCAAATTTTGATTCAGGTGGAGAAGATGTTGGAAAAGACATTTGGAGATTTCTTGTTTGCTTCTCTCCCTAATAAAAGTAGGACGTGTCCAAGGTATGCTGTATTGTCTTTTGTGTTTCCTTGGGCATTTCTCTATCCAAAACTCCCATTAGCCCAAACATTTCTTTAGTAATAAAAAAAATACACATTTGTAAAAACAAAAGAACTACAATTGAGTCTCTATCAGCTCCAATATCCATTTTACTGTGTAATCCATCGCATTTAGACCCATTGAACTTTTTAGATATAGAGTTGAATGTTTTTTGGATTGGGTTTAAAGAAAGCAAGCATTGCTGTTTAGAAAGGGTTAATGAATAAAATAAGGGAATGAAATTGGTTGTGGTGGTCATGGATTTTGTCGAGATTGTTTGCCTTCTTTTTTGTTCTATTTTTTGCATATATATGATACATTTGTTACAGTATTACTTGCCTAGGTGCTAGGCGCAGCCGGGCGATGAAGGTTGTGCCCGCCTGGGTTGAGGCGAGGCAATTTACAGGAGGCTGTGGGAGGCGTGCGCCTACGGGATTTAGGAGCCGGGCGCAGCGCCTTTGCACTTTTCAGATTTTTTTTAAAGATATTAATATTTTTAATAAATAATTATATTTTAATATTTAAGAAAAACCCATCTAACTTTACTCTCAGTCTCTCACGATACACAATTGAAAAAAAAGAAAAACTCGCCAAACAAAATCCCTAACATTCTTTCTCTCCATTGCACACCCCTCTTCACTATAATATTATTTAAAGAACTATAATATTGTTTATCATGTTAGTTTGAGTACAAAATATAGTTCACACTTGATCTATATTATATATTACAAACAGTGTGCCTCGCATACGAACGTCTTGCGCCTTGTGCCTAGGCTCAAGGGACCTTTTGCACCCTTAAAAACCAAGTTACTTACTTGCATATATAAATGCTATTTTAATTCGTTCACTCTTCAAATAAAGCTTACTGTATCTTTTTCCTACCTTTTTTCAGTTGCATGGAGGGCACGTTAATATTCAAAGTAAGCAGGTTTGGTGCAGGCTATTTTATAGGGTGTGACCAACATCCAAAGTGCAAGTAAGTAAGGAGCAGTACAATAATTTCTGGATTTTGATGCATACACACATTGCATATACCAGTGCATGATCGTGAACCTTTTGGTAATTTTTCTGTTTACGATTAAGAAGAGCGTTGTAATCTTCTATATTCTATTCACTATCATCTTTTGGTTTTCGAGTTTTTTTTTTGAATCATTGATTTTTTAGGTACATTGCTAAGTCATTATATGGTGATGAGGAGGACGGAGAGAGCCCTCAAAAGAACAACAACATCGAGGAGCCAAAACTATTAGGTCTTCATCCAGGGACCAATGAGAAGGTTAGCATCTAATAGTGGTCTTTTAGTATAAATGAAAAAGATTTTGGATCTTTATTTTCATTGGAATTTTATGTTTCCGTTTGTTATAACTAGACACTAATTGTTTCTTCTTCCATCCCTCTCAGATTTTCTTAAAGAGTGGCCCTTATGGACACTATGTGCAGCTTGGTGAAAACAGGACCGGTTATCAACCCAAGCGATCCTCTGTTTCTCATGTATGGTTACGTCTATTTTTATATCTGCACTGTTTCGTAATTCTGGCGGTGTAAGTTTCTGAAAGGAATCATATCTTGTTGTTACGAACCACTCGGTTAATGAAACACCGATGAAGTAGAATTTTAATAACTCATGCCACCGCCTTTTCGCTGATAAGATAAAGATACTCTTGTTTACCCTAAGAATGACCAGTAAATATTATTTTTATTTTTGTAGGGAGCACCTGTAAGTACTCTTTGATATGTTTCAACCTTGTTATGAACAGACCGCTGACTAATTTTTTTTTTCATTCAGATAAAGAACATGGATTCTATCACCCTTGAAGATGCCCTCGAGCTGCTGCGTTACCCTGTGACACTGGTACTTAAGGACACCTTTAATGAGAGCTATGTTTTCTTTATTCCGTGGAATGTCCAATTTGAATCTTTTACGCATCTTGGCAGGGAGAACACCCCAAGGATGGGCACCCTGTGATATTGAAGCTTGCTAGGATCGGATTCGCTGTTCGCCATCGACGCACCACTGATCCTGTTCCCAAGGTAAGTTTGTATTCGATGGAAAAAATATTCTTTAGTTTCATGATTCACTTGCTGTCAATAATCGGGAACGGATCTCCAAAAAATAACGATCATGGACATGATTGTAGGGTATGAAGCCGAAAGATGTGACCATAGAGAAAGCATTGGAACTTTTGTCAAGTAAAGATGTAAGAAGATCTGGACGACCTAAGAACAAACCAAAAGTTGAAGAAGAAGAAGAATACATTTGAAACCAATAGTGTTGTAAGGTAGAGAATTTTGGGATAAGTACCAAGGATTTTGGCTGGAGGTAAGAACAAATCATTAGGCACGGATAGCAGCGATGACTTCTATTGTTTTTCTTCAACATGTAATCATGGATATGCATGGTGAGGTTGAATACATTATAATTTATTTATTTATTTATTACATCATTATTATTTTTCATATACCACTTGCTTCTGTTTTTGACCGATTAATCCAAATCGGATACTATAAAAATTTATTATGAGATTTATTATTATATTTTTAAGGCAAAAAACTCCATTTGAGTATGTATTTTCTTTTTCATATATTGTAACGTTTGGTTAATGTAGAAAAAAAATTAAATATTATGTAACTGTATAAATAGTGATCAATTATTAATATTTTTTTCTTTTAATAATCTAATTATCAAAATTTACAAAATGATCATTTAACTGATCGATTTTATTTTTTTTGTCATCATTGTTAAATGACAAACGGAAAAAATATTTTGGTTATTTATTGAATTTATAAAATAATATATTTAATCTCTTCAAACTTTATATATAATATTAATTTGATCTTAATTGTAATTTTTTTTATTTTCAATATCACACTTTAGTGATAATCTCATGCTAATTCAAAATTTTAAAAAATAGGAATAAAAATGATTGTAAAACTCATAAATCCAAAAACACAAATTTTTTAACACATTAGTATATGTGCTTGAATCAATCAATTTCAATAAGAGAAGAGCAGCCAATGAATTTAAGCCCAAGGCCATCCCTCATTTCTTTGTTTCTGTATCATACCAATCCAATAATATTTTCTATAATCACCAAAACCCCAAAACTCTGGGGGGGAAAGAACCCCCAACAGCAACAACGTTTCAAGATGGAGAATCCTCTCGTTCCATGGTCAACTTTGAAAGCTAACAAAATGTGTTACTTCAACAACAATTGTGGTTGCAGTGAACAACAAATGTGTTCCTTCTCTGTCATAGTTTTAGCTTTACATATGTGTATAGTTGTGGAAGTTCATCCCTTGTTACAGCAACAAATAAAAAGTTTAGCATTTTCTAGCATGGTATAGTTTCTCTTGTTTCATTGCTCGGAATCAAGCTTAAAACAAAATGTCTAATGGCGGCTTTGAAGTAGTTTCTAACCTTTTCTCTCATGAATCTGGAAAAACTCATGGAAGGCAGCAATGGCAGCTTTTGTATTCCTCATTTATTAATTAAATTGTATTAAAGCTGTTTATACACACACACACATATGTATATATGAAAGACTAAAGTGTTAAAAGCTTTAGGCAAACCAGCTTCAGAGCTGGAAATACTGCAGAAACAGTACGAGGAGAAAAGAGTGAAGATACAAGAGCTCCATAAACAAATCGAAATCGCGAAGAAGAAGAAGAAGAAGAGGAAGAGGAAGAAAAATAAAATCCCAGATGAGAAACATGAAGTTTTCATTGAACTGAGCCAGAAATACAAGTCTGAGAGAGGAATATATTGCACTGTCAAGGTAGTTGAATTAAGGCCATGTCCACTTTTGTTTTCGAAATAGTTTAGATTACATGCACCACGGGCAACCTGGGACTAATTACTTTTAATAAATTAAATATTTCCTAATCAAATTACAAAATACAGTTGCTTCACGATCCCAAAAGCAAGTATCACAGCAATGGCCGACGTTGTTGCTTGCTTCCCAAGCTTCTTCTTCAAAAGAACTCTCACGATCACGATCACGATCACGATCACGATCACGATCACGATCACGATCACGATCACAATCACAATCACAATCTCTTCCTTTAGGCGCTGCCAATGTTTCGTACACCCACATGCAACTCAAAAGCTTCTCCGTTTTCGACCGACAGCTCGCGATGATCTTCGAATTTCTTCTGTTCGACTTGTCAAGATTGAGAGAGGATAAAATCTGAAGCCCTTGTTCCCTCAGCTCACCTCCTAAACAGATGAGGATAATGCCGTAAGCATACATGGCTTCAACATGACCTTTCTCGGTAGCCTTCTTGAAACAATGGAGTCCGGAGTCGGGTTTCTTTCGGCTGAAGCAATCGACCATTCCTTTCCTGTATAACGCTTCGGCGTTCTTGGCAGCTCTGCATCGTTTTTCAAAAACCCTCTCGCTCCTACGCCATGGAACGAAACCAACTTTCTCCATGGAAACCTTCTCAAAGACCTGATCATAGTTCGACGCAGCAAGAAAAGCTTTACAGCTTAACCTGACATTAATGAAATCATTGACAGAACTTGAAGCCGCTTGCATAACGATTTCTGTCAACATCTCTTCTGGAAGAGATATAATATCGCATGTAGATTTCTTTGACATGATTTCCAGATTATTAAGACAGTGTTCGTAAACCCCAACAATGCAATAACATATTTAATAAGATGTAAAACAAAAATATATATATATATATATATATATATATACATAGAGAATTAGAGACGGTGTAGGATTAGGATAACAAAATACTATAATTGGTGGGGTTAAGTATTTGATGTACAAACTTTTACTTTCTTCATTATTACTGACAGTGTTCAATTAGGAAAACAAATTCCTATAACGGGTAGGAGTAATAAATATTCTAAAATCTAAAAAGTAGATATCCGTAGAAAAAATTCATGTACGGATTTGGTTTCGATAGGTTTCGATATGATATGATCTTGTAGGGTTATTTTTTTAAAAATCGAGGTTGGATTAAGTTATATATATATATTTTTATAAAATAAGGTTGGATTAGGTTTAATTTTATGGTGAAAAATCTTCAATCTAACTCGAGATAGTAGTGTAATTATTCTTTATATATGTAAGGATAATATTTCTACAAAAGAAATTAATTTAATTTTTTATATTAGTTTTAAATTTATTTTTTGAAAATTTTGATTTTCGACAAAACGGACGCTGAATCCATATTTAAGAGGTCAAAAAAGGGTGAATAGGAAATTTGTGGATCTAACTATCATCGATGACATCAGTTGACGTTGACCGATGACGGCGATAGTGATGAATGTCGACTAGCGATGTAAACTTTGATTAAATATAAGAGTCAAATTAATATTTTATGTAATTTAAGATTAAATTAATATTTTATATAAAATATAAGGTCAAATTAATATTTCGATTAACTTTTACGAGTTAAGTTAAAATTTAATCATTTTTAATAACTGTCATGGCCTAATGTTCAAAATAAAACGAACCAAAAACAAAAATGATCAGAATTGATAATAAAAATCAAGCAGACAAAAAACATAAAAGATCACCAGTGTTGGTTATTTTAAAAAAATATTAAATTATAGTATATATATATAATCCCGTTACACAACATAAAACGCTTTTAATTTTTATAAAAAAAAATCAATTTTAACTATTTATTTTTACTCATATATATCGGTTCACCCAATTCAACGGTTTTTTCCCTAACCCAAAAGACTTTTTTTCAAAAAAAAAAATTATCCAGCCCGTAACTACCCACTATTCTTAATTAACTACCCATTATCATTTTTAGTCAAAAGTTAAATTGCTCAATATTATTATTTCTCAAAATAAAAATATATTCAATATTATATTTTAAAATCTAGAATATATATTATTTTTAATATATATGAATTGTTTACTCAATATTTTAATTTATAAGTGTCAAGTAATTATTTTTAATTTTTTAAAAATATCATTATTTTATAATTTCATTTTTTGAATATAATATTTTTATCTAACAGTTTCTTTTTATATAAACCGGATTTTTGAACTCGTCTCGAACCGGTCTTTTAAGAGTAGAAATCTTATTTGAACAGAACTGAGAACTACAACCAAACCCTCGAGTCGGAAGCACGAAAACACTTAAAGAAGCTTCAATGGCTGCCGAAAACAAGGCAAAAGGCAACACTGTGACAGCCAAAGGCAAGAAGAGGAAGCAGTATCTTCCCCACAATGTTAGCCCAAACTCTCTCTTTTACTCTTCACCCCAATATTTTCATGGGGTTTTATTTTTATTTCTTCAACTTCTTTTTTTTCTTCTTCTGGAAAACAGAAAGCAGTTAAAAAGAAAGGGGCATACCCATTAAGGCCTGGAGTCCAAGGTTTCTTGATCACTTGTGATGGTGGCAGAGAACGCCAAGCTGCTCATGAAGCTATCTATGTTATTGATTCTGTATGTTTTTTCTTTGCATATTTTCTTATTTTGTAGTTTATTGTTGAACCTTTTTTGTTTGTTTTTGTTATTAAAATTAATTTCGGATCATTAATTGATGATTTTCCATCTGGGTATTCGTTTGCAATTCAATTTCCGTGGTTAAATTTTACTTTTTTTATATGCAAAATGATTGCTGAGTTTATTTTCTGTGTTTTGATTAATTTCCAAAGTTGTTTCTGCTTTCTTCTGCCCGTATTTATTTTATTTACTTTCAAACTATATATATATTGTTTAATGTTTTAATTGCTCTCTTTTCCTCCTTCGTTGTTCCATCATGTTACTCTCATAACATGGAGGGATTGAAGGAGGATTTTAATGGGGCCTTTCTATCAAAAAAAAAAATGTTTTAATTGCTCTGTTGGGGAGACATGGTTTTTAGCTGGGGGATTTTATGCCAGATTAAAATCAGTTAAAGCTTTGATTTTGAACTAATAATGTGAAGTTGAATCTTAGAATCTCATCAGCTTCTATTAAATTATAAATTATAGGCTTGGAATGTGATGACAGTTGTGACATTGCTCTTTAAGCCTTCGTCTTTTCCATTCCTTTACTGTGTTCATGGTTCATTTTCTTTTCAAGTTTATGTTTTTTGGTTCACAAATTATTATTAAGACTACGAATCAAAGATGATCTTGGTTGTGGCTAAAAAAACATTATTTTGATAGTATAGATGTTAGGTGTATCCTCTTTTCTCACACTGTCTTGCTGCTTTATCCTATGATCATCCAATTCTTCCTCTTGCGTTCTCTTTATTCATTATATTGACTGTAAGTTTACGTTTAATTCATTGATAGGATTGTTTGCGTCCAAAGATTCTTGGTTTTATAATATTCTACCTTTGACCAGCAATTCCCTGGCATCATCTCTGATCTTTGATTTCTTCTCTCTCTCTTTTTTTTCTAAAAAAAATTATCTTTGAATTGGATCATGTGAAGTAGCTGAGTTCTTATTTTAAATACCAAATCGGGCTCGTATTTTGACCCAGTATCTCTGCAACACCATATCAACATGAGTAAGATGCCTTAAAATTCTCTGTCCATTTATATACTGTTTATTCCTGTGCTTGAGTTAAGGCAGTTGCTAATGCTCCTCTGCTATTCTTTTGTGCATTTACCTTAAACTTCTGGTTATTTTACTTCCATGCAGTTTTTTGAAGATCTAGTCAATGGAAAGGATTTTGGAGAGGAACCTGCAGTGTTACCAAATAAGCCTCTAAATAAAAAGATTACTTTCTCATATAGTGATGATGAAGACATTGATGAAGAGGAGGGTGATGATGAACGAGAGGAGGAAGGGCAAGAGGAAGTTGTTAAATCAGATGCTAGTAGAGAAAATGATGCTAGTCAAGAAAGTTTAACAAATAAAGATTCGGACCATCCAAACTCAGATGATGTGTGCCATGGAAAGATAGCAGAAGAGACCAATGGTACTCAGAAGGATGGAGCAAATATTGAAAATCAAGTAGATAAGTCGGAGGATCCACCAGAAAAGGAACAATGCCTTGAAACAGATACATCAAATCAAGTAGATAAATTGGGGGAGCCATCAGCAAAGAAACAATGCCTTGAAACAGATACATCAAAAAGTGCAACCAGTGAAAAAGAGAAATCTATTGATAAGCTTATTGAAGCTGAACTTAATGAGCTTGGAGATAAGAGTAAGGTTAGTAAGCTATGACTGCTAAATTTTGTAATTGATTTTGCAGATTAATGGATGCCAGAAAGAGGATAGTTACGTCTGGGTAAAAAAAGAATAAAGAATTTTATCTGGATGGTGGCATACCTTTTTGACAGGAAGTTATGTTTTTGGCATCTTGCATGAAATGGAGAGACCTAAGGCAATTTTATGCTTATTGAAAAAGAGAAAGCAAGAAGTTAAAATAATACTTATACGATATTTTTCTTGTAAGTTCTATGCGAATTTAACATAGTATCATTAACACTAAATTCTTAATTGAAAATTTCACATATTTTCTTTATGCAAGATGGAAGTAGCCCAAATGAGGTTGTTCCTTCTGTGTTACATTGAACTTTACCTAAAAATATAAAAAAATACTAGCTTATTGTATTTAATCTATCAGCCTTGTACATGTTTCATCTGATTCTTTTATTTGTTTAGAAATGAAAATATTCGTAATTTTTTGTTTATTACTTTTTCCTTCCATATTCAGTTATCTTTTTAGTGTTGAACTAGTCATGCTTTTCTAATGCAATTACTTGTCATTCTCTTGTAAAAAAATGGGTGATGCTGTCCATTATTGCATCTTTTTTCTTTCCAATTTTTTGTACTTGAACCTTTTCTCCCCTTTGCATCCTGGTCGAACAGAGGCTGTTCTTCAACCTTGATTCAGGCTGTAATGGTGTTGTCTTTGTTCAAATGCGGAAGAAAGATGGAGTTCCTGGTCCCAAAGACATTGTGCAGTATATGATGACGTCCGCTGCATCAACAAGGAAGCACATGTCGAGGTTCATTCTTCACTTGCATGTTATGTTCCATATACAAAGCACATAGGAAATGGTCTCTTGGTTGTAGCAAGCTAAAACCTTCTTGTTTCTGTGGTTTAGGTTCATTTTAAGAGTCTTGCCTATTGAAGTAGCATGCTATTCTTCAGAAGAGGAAATTACAAGAGCAATGAAGCCTCTCATTGAGCAGTATTTTCCAGTGGAGACACAGAATCCTAGGAAGGTACGAAATAGATGAATTCTCATTCTTTTTGTTCTGGTTTTCAAGTGATGGAAAGTTTTATAGTGCTTCTAAAAGCTAATTTTCCATAAAATACAAGGACATATATTCAAACTAAGTTGATTGAATCCGTGCACATTGATTTTAACTTGCTTTCTATAAACATTGTTGTATTTGTACAAAAAAGTTTAAATGTTCCTTAAGCATATCTGTTTTTTGTCTTTGGTTGATCCCATTCAGACATATGAATCAAACTTAGATTTGACACAATCAAAATGCATGATTTGTACGAAAGCTACACGATTTAAAGCCACTACTTCTAGTTTTAGCTCAAGGTGGTTGTTTACTTAAATGAGAGATGTGGCTTCCTTTTCTTCTTTAGGGAAGTAACAATTTGAACCGATCAAACCTTTTAAATACGTGTAGTAGCTGCAAAGTGACTTTTCACTTAGTGTGGATTTGCCGGGAAATTAAAATGTTCTTAGAAATTGTATGATTGACTACCATGGCTTTAAATCAGTATTTGATCTATTATAATGTTCTTGGACTTCATGTCTTGTACCATTTGCGTTTTGAAAAATCCATATAAGATAGCCCCCAATTTATCCGTAAACGAAGCAGTCAATGTATTCATGACGAGCCATTCAACTCATGATTCGCTTTGATATATAAAAGAAAACTTTCTACATATTTGAATGCCTTCATTTAGTTTGCATGATAGCTAACTTGAACCCATATTTCGATGATTTATTCCTTGTGGATGTGTTAATCTCATTTTGGGTGGTCAAATAATGTTTATATTAAATTTGGCCTTGCCCCCTGAAGGAGGAAAAAAGGTATACGGATCAGGTTTGTTTTGTCAAGGACCCTGCATGAATAAATGACAGCATGGTTTTGGTTTGATCAAATTCAAAATGCATAATATGTGCTGGGATTGTAACTTTTATTTACTGCAGTTTGCCGTACTATACGAGGTGCGTGCGAATTCTGGTATTGACAGGATGAAAATTATAAATACGGTTGCGAAGGCTGTACCTGCACCACACAAAGTTGATCTCAGCAATCCTGACACAACTATTATAGTTGAAATTGTGAAGGTCAGTACATTATGTCTTTGACTAAATATGAACTCTTGTTTTGGCACATTTGCTCTTTGAAAGATCACTTGACCCTGCCTTCCATTTCATTTTTTTCGGGTTTCAGACAATCTGCTTGATTGGGGTTGTCGAGAAATACAAGGAGTTGGCAAAGTATAACCTGAGGCAACTTACATCACCAAAGCAATAAAGAATAGAGATGCTCCTTCCATTACTGGAGCTTCAAGCAGCACTTTGGAAAAACCTGTTAGCTGGCTGGCTTTCTTGCCTTCTGTCAAATTAAGACAAGTTAGGTTTAATATTTTCAGAGTTAGGAAAAAAACATTTTTTATTGCCAAATAAGTGGGTTTCGAATAATCTTTTATCTCAATTCCATATTGTTAGGGAGTCTATTTCTATTTAAGAAGTTCATTAGATATGGTTGTTATTTCTGATAAAAATGGGAGGCCTCGTTAAAACCCCCTTCGTACCCCTCAAGTTACGAAGATAACTTGATGGACATTGGAAGAAGGAAAAGAGTACCTCAAAATTTTATTCCTTTTTTTAAATCTTAGTTAAAATTTTAAAATTATGTTTGTGTTCCTTTATTTAAATTTTTTTATTCATTTAACTAAATAAACATAATTATTTTTTTGTTCATATCCATATATCTAATTTAATAAAAAAATACGAATAATTCATAAGTCATTCGTCAAACGATTCATTAGTTTATAATCTTACCTTTAAAGTATTAATTTTTTTTAACTGAAACATGTAAGCATGCTATTTATCCATGTGGTGCTTAATAATCTGATATTATACATGGGTTATAAATGGAAACGGCACATGAATGAAAAATTAAATTACACTTTCTACCATCATCTCATGTGGTACATGAACAGTTACAGTGGGATCAAAGGTGGGAAGTTATGGTTTATAACGAAGTTTAAAGGTACAACGAAACAACAACAATGAGATCAAACAACAAAAAACCATTGTGATTGATTGCATTATTCATCTTTACTTGACTTCTTTTTGTGCTTTCCTTTCATGCCCTTCACTTTCTCAATCTGTCCACCTACATTCTTCTGGTTGCTTATTGAATCCTCTTCTGCACTGCACATTTGAGACTTCAACTTGAATCCGAATTTCTTCGATACATTTCCCCAAGTGCTAGAAGAACCCTTCACCCGCCCTAGCTTCTCGATTTCTTGCCTCATGTTCGAGCATTCTTTCTCAAGCTCAGAAACCCGCATTCTCATATTATCCATGCCTACCTTCAAAACCTGGTTTTCTCTCACAGCTGAGGCCCACCCTCCTCCGTCAGTTGACCCTGCAAAACCCAGTTCTTAACTGTTGTGATCCGTCAAGATTGTCTGAGACCAAAAGGCAACCAGCGATTGAAGTCCTAAGCTGAAGCTGTTCAAAGAACAGGACTTGGACAACTATTCTCAGTGGCAGCCTCTCATTTTGTGCAGCATGGGTACAGGCTTCCAAGGAGAGCTTCTGGCAGTCCATCAGCCGGCATAGTTGTTCTCTGTCAGTTTCCGACAACCAAGGGTGTGACTGCAAGTTTGATAAGCATAGGAGAAAGTTAACAAGTTAAAATAATTGTAGCAATGAAAAATTTCAAGATTTTTTTCTTGTATCCTTCTTTAAGATGCAAGAATTGATTTTAAGAACAAGATAATTCTAAGCTCCTAATAATTAATACACATAAGATTTGGCTTTTCGGCCAGTTAACTTTATAGACAAGGGGAGCAACTTACATTACAATGCCAAATAACATTACTCAGTCAAAGAATAGACAGCGGAAACAACTTGCATTTGAGAGATTATATATCTTTAAACAATGGGAGAATCCCAATTCCCAACCTAATTTAAAGCTATCCGATCATTCTCGAAAATCTTAAAAGGGCCTCTAAACTCAACCTGGATATAGTTTAAAACCTAACTTGTGTAACATCCGCAGCATAAAAAACAAAGAAAACAACGTAATTATCAATTATGTGCAGTAAGGATAGTACCTTCAGATAAATGTCTATAGCACGATATAGACCATCATCTAACGGCCGGGCATAGTCGGGAACTGAAGCAGCAAGAGCCTGAAACTTGGGGAGCTTCAAATGAACATCAGGGGCAACCTCCGCAAGGTACCCATCAATTAGCTTGGCTACCATTGTAATTGGTGTTAATGACGGTGAGCCAATAATCTGACCATCATCAGCCGAACATGGAGAGGCTCCACCAGTGATTTGGTCCATGGCAAGAAAATGCTCAAGAATTCGCTGCACACAATCCACGTTGTAAAGTGTTTCCATGGAATAAGAGAAATTAGGCATCAGTAGATCTTCCAGAGTTGCTTTATCAAGCTGCAGCCCGATCCTTTTCTCAAAGTTAGATAAACAAGATGGGTTTGCTCGGAGAATCATTGCTGTCCGAAGCAGTCCAAACAAAAACTTGGTTGGGACAAGACCTTTCTGAATAGGAAGCAAACTATCAATCTCCTCCAGCAAAATCTTTTGATCTTCTTCCGATAGAGGAGCCCCTAAGGCCACAGGTGCAAGACAGGCATTAGAGTTAGAATCATTAGCACCTTGACGCCTGATCAAACCAGGTAGGTACTTTTTTGCATAAAAAGCAACTGAGCCAGCAATTATCTCCTCTCTGATACCACGAGCCTCCATGGCTGAAATCAATCTCTTATAAAGAGGTAAACTTAAATTCGACACATCCTCATACCACCAATCCAAACTTGTATTTTTTGGTTTGGCCCCTGTAGTTATCCCATTCCACAACAAACTTCCACCAGGGCTCTGCATAGGACCACCATGTTCCATTATGGGCCACCCGAATACGTTGGGATCAGTAGATGCCATTGTGGCTAACGATTCGATGCACCTTTTTGTAATATTCAGTTCATCAGCATAAGAGATAATATCATCACATGTTTGAAGTGCTTTGAGAGAATCTTTCCAATTTCGAAGGACTACTTGAGTAAGAAAGGTTTCAGTCTGCACAATAAGATTACCTTCCCCGTAGTCCTCAGTCATTTCTAGATGCTCAGCAGCACATCGAAGGTACACAACATTTGAGGCAGTAAGTTCATGTTTCACCCCATAGCAGAACTTCGCCACAAGTTCAAAAGTTTTGGTCCCCCCAGGAATGTCACGGATGCATATGGAACATTTTTCTTCTTCGTCAGATGCTTCTGCGATTAATCTTTCCATAACCCCACTTCTAGAGAGTAAAGGGAACTGCACAATAGTAAGAATCGAAAAATGTATGGTTATTTGATTAGACACTTCATTTTACCATGCATATCGCAAAGAGTACATGTTCATGCAAATTCATTCGAGGAAAATCAATAGATGAGGCCTTAAAAAGATGGTGTGGGGCATGGGAATGGATTTTCTATCTTTATTTTGCAGAAACCAGTAGAAATGAGCGAACAGACTAAACATACAAATTCAGCAAATTTAAAAGGGGAACACCAATCAGGATGAAGCATACATGTTAGGAAATTATAAACTAAAAAATTAATCAAAGCAAGATCAACAAAAACTCTTTCAACATACATCTCTCAAACAGAGATCTCAAAAGGAACATACATCCAATAATTCTCTCTCATAATTCTAAAGTTTAAAACATTCTCTATATTTATAGAGCCAAATACTTGGTCACCAAGAAACCTTATGTCATAAGAATTTTTAGTTAATAAATTTAATCACCAAATAATCTTCAACTACTAGAATTACACAAAAATTCAACTTAATTACCAAATAAAATTTGAGTCAATACATTCAATATGCATGATGAAGGGAAAATTACCTTGTGAAGATGAAAGGACATTTCTCCAACTTCAACAACAATATCACTAGGAAGTCCAGTTGTGCAGAACCTACTCAACACAAAGAGAATTATAACAACAATTTTACATGCTTAGGGAGATGCAGGGTGCTTAGAATCAAACCAAAAAAGTTTGGTCCCATATTATAAAATAACCGTACTACAAATAATTCACCATAAATAACAATGTGCAACATTATGAAATGGTACCATCTACTATACAGATGAAACACTAATAACCTAATCTTAACGAGCATTAACACAACACCCTCCATGACATGTCCAGCTCATCCAAATCCTGGGATTCCACATTTGCAATCACTAGGATAACAAATAATACCATTTTCACATTTTGTTTGATTCCATCATTGTTAACAAGCTTCCAACATTGGTAAGAAGTGAGAAGGAATATTAACACTGAAAACAGACATGATATTAAGCAGGGAAAATATAGATTATCTTATCTAATCTTAATACTATTAAACCAAATATGATGTTAATCCAACCTAGCCCGGTATTCACCAAAGTCATTATTCTATCATATTTCACAAAATGCATCAGATAACATTTTAGAAGTAAGCATAAGTATAAACAAAAGGGATAACATATAGGTTTAGTGCAGGTTCAAGGTCTCTCAGCATAAGTGTTGTGCATAGAAGTGCTTATGCGTCGAAACAAATTGTTCTCAAGCTACAAGTTGGTTGAAGATGGATAAACTACTATTTTTCTGCAAATTGAAGCTTGAATGAAGGTCATTACTTCAACTAAAAAACAAAGAGCGATGGCATAATGTACCAAATACTAACTTCACAGAGTTAAAAGATTAAACAATTGTTTAGCAGTATTGGCAGCAACCGAATGAATTACTAAGCAATCTAAGTTACTGTAGTATGAAAACTCGAGTTTCGGACCAGGAATATGAAACCAAAAACTAGTTTGGTCGCTCAAAGCCACAATAAAAAGCTAAAATGAAAGAAAGAGAGCACAACGGACACATCCAGAAGATTAAAACTAAGTAAAGCAAACAAACAACATCTCACAATAGTCAATGACAAGAACATATGCAACATAATAGCGGAGAACAGTTACATACCAAGCTTGCCCTTGCCTTTGAAACGCATCAGTTTTGGATCCAAGTTTCACGCAAGCCATTGTCTCACAGTGGAAATGAAAACAGGTTCAGCAGCAGAACATCAGCTATTCCAGAATCCAAAGAGAAATACTTTAACACTGTATCAGAATTGGAAACTCAAGGGAACCCAATTTTACTTTGACCCTGCATCAAAGAAGGCTCTTTCTAAATCTAAATCCAAAACCCAATTTTACTCAAGTGCTCAAGCCAGCTCTTTCCCAAAAGGTCAAACCTTGAAAATTAACCCAAATGTAGCTTCTTCTTCAACATGTAAATCAAAGAAAACCCACTAAACATTTCAGGAAAAAAAACTTGCTTTGAATCCATCAATCATCACCAGATTCATTTGCACATACCCCATTGAGAAAAACGCACCCAAACCCACTTCAGAAGCACCTCCAAATCCCTGCCTAACACCAGAGAATCTCCAAATAAGACACCGAATTGGAGTTAGCCGTTTAGGTCAACTCCTCCAAAAAGAAAAAAAACACCCAGCAGCCCAAAATGAATAATATAAGCCCCCTCACAACACTCGCCAACAAAATTCCAAAGTTTGGAAAACGAAAGGACCAAGAACACTACTCAATGCTCCTTTAGAATAGCATTAAAGCGAAAAATAAGAGCTATGTGAGTTACTGTTTTTCTTAGTGACTTCTTTTTTTTATCGGTTATACCCCCATTGAAATGATAAATAATTCATTGCCTTCGAAGCTTTTCAAAGCCATAATGATGATTATGTTACATAGTAAGGCTTAAATGAAAAAACAACTCCGGACTTTTTTTTAAGTACATCAGTTATATTTTGGCCAAATAATTATTTAAACTATCATTTTATAATACGTATTGTGAAAAAATGATTATATTTTAATCAAGTTAATTTAAATTAGAAAATGATGAAATATTTTTTTGGTTGTCAAATATATACAAGAGAAAAGCCAAAAAGATAATGGATGGAAAGGAGCGGAGCGACATATGTGGCGGCAATGGCCGCTCCCAAAGCCGATACCTCCTTCACGCTCGCATGCTTCCACGTGAGTCCTTTGCCTTACAATTTACTCGTTGTTTTTTCCGATGCTCGAGTAGGATGTAGGGCAATGGTTATTTTTATCCTTTTTCTTTCCTATTTTATAATATACTACTACCACAAGTATTATTAAAACGTAGCTTTAATATATTAACGATTGATTTAAGTAGTAAGTAGTTTTATTAAATATGTCTCGAATTCAATTTTTTGTATATGTGAAAAATCCTTATTGTGAGATTTACCCACCAAAATCAAATATATAATCTAAATTAATCTGAATTAGTCAAGATAAAACCTTTGAGAATCGGAATGGCAGCAAAACGAAAAAAATGTAGCTTTAATATTAAGGAATAATGTCAAAACATCAAGCTTGTATGCCAGCGTTGTCTAAAGGCAATTCAGCTTCCTCAAAACAAATTTGCACTTTGTATGGGACGATATATTTTGCCCAAGGTGTGGGTCTATTGGACAGGTTTTTTATGCCATATTCAAGGGCTGATATCACAAATATTATTTTATATGCTTTTGAATGAATTTTAAATATAATAATTTGAGTATTTTATTTTTTAATATAAATATTTTAAAAATAATAATTTAACATTTTCAATAATAAATGATAAAATTTATTTCTATAAAATAATTTATTTTAAAAATAAAATATTTTTATGTTGAATGAAATCGATCGGAATTTTTTCAAAATTTTGTTGTAAAATGATAAAAAAAATATAATATCAATTAAAATTACATAAAATTAATAAAAATATTAATTTTGTGATCAATTGTACTTTATTGTTCAATTTTAAAATTGAAAAAAAAAATCAAATTACTTTTATTATAAAGATCAATTTTGCTCAATTTGAAATTTGTGAGGGCCTAAGAGCGCTTTTTACCAAAATAAATTAATTTCATTTTGCAACAAAAATTTGAAAAATCTCCAATCGATTTTACTTTTCCGCTCCCGCTTCTCTCTTCAATCGCAGTAGCCAATCAAGAGGGTAGTTCTGCGGTGCGGCGCCTAAAAAACGGTTAATATACGGCGTGACCGGTTAAACAAATGACTGGTTAAAAATTATACCGGTTATGTTATATTATTTAACCGGAAATATTATAAAGTACAATAACATACTAGGTAGCGCTTATATAATGTAATAGATAGTGCTTATATTTACCTATTTTATAAGTAAACCGGTATATTTATACCGATAGTATTACAAATTTACCTATTACATTATATTATATTGAAAGTGTCCATACTTTTTATAAAAATGATCGATACTTCTTTTAAAGTTATGTAATTTATGTTTCAATTTTTTTTAATAGTGTTTCATGTTTTCCACCTACAATATTAATTTAATAATTTTATTTGCACAAAAATTATTTGATTATTGATTTTTATAAAATTATTTAGAATTTTTAATTTAATAATAATATATATCGTAACGTAAAAAAATAAATCATTAGACGCCTATAATTACTAAATTAATATCTTAAAACTCACTCAAAAGATAACCTTAAATTAATGTTTTCCACAGTGAAAAAATTATGGACACTTTTATAAAAATGATAGACACTTTACAATATAACCACTACCTATTACATTATAAACGATACCTATTACATTATATAAGCGCTACCTATTACATCATATTTTTACCTTATATTGAAAGTGTCCATACTTTTTATAAAAAGGATCGATACTTCTTTAAAGTTATGTAATTATGTTTCAATTTTTTTTTAATAGTGTTTCATGTTTTCCACCTACAATATTAATTTAATAATTTCATTTGCACAAAAAAATATTTGATTATTTGATATTTTATAAATATTATTTAGAATTTTAATTTAATAATATATATATCGTAACGTAAAAAATAAATCATTAGACGCCTATAATTACTAAAAATATCTTAGAACTCACTCAAAATATAAATTAAATTAATGTTTTCCACAGTGAAAAAAGTATGGACACTTATAAAAAGGATAGACACTTTACAATATAACCACTACCTATTACATTATATAAACGATACCTATTACATTATATAAGCGCTACCTATTACATCATATTTTTACCTATTATATTGAAAGTGTCCATACTTTTTATAAACATGATCGATACTTCTTTTAAAGTTATGTAATTTATGTTTCAATTTTTTTTAATAGTGTTTCATGTTTTCCACCTACAATATTAATTTAATAATTTCATTTGCACAAAAAATTATTTGATTATTTGATATTTTATAAAAATATTATTTAGAATTTTTAATTTAACAACATTAACCAAAGATAATAATAAATATGTAATATATATGTTTATTGTTTTTAATTTAATAATAATATATACAACATCAAACACATTCCAAGCTATAAATTACAAGTTGAAAGCGTATTTAGATGTTGTTCGTGCAATTGAAGATGGAATTAGTAGAATGCGTATGAACGAGTTGAAAGCGGATTACTTAAGTTCCCATACGAAGCCCTTCCAGATCACAAAACTGTCGACCTTGAAAGCCATGCCGCTGCGATTTTTACCCGCGAATCTTTTCGTGTGTTCCAAGATGAACTTATACGGGAGACATTGTACCGGATTGAGGCAGAGATTAAGTCCTTATCAGATGAATGTCAACATTATATTTTGTCAAAGTACGCAGAAAAAATAGGAAATTTGAAATTAGTTTTGATTCTCGTACGAAAACTCTAATTTGCTCCTGCAAAAAATTCGAGACCGTTGGACTTCCGTGTCGCCATCAACTTCACATTTTGAAGGAATTGGACTACACATATTTGCCCGGGACTTTGATTCAAAGTAGGTGGACTAATGATGCGAAGGCTTCTGCACCCAGCTATGTTGATTTGAATGTGTCTCCAGAAGTGATGCAAATGGCAAGGTTCGCTGCTCTACGTTCAACGTCAAGTAGGTTATGCTACATTGCATCAAAGACAGACGAGTCTTTCAAAACCGCAAGAGATGAGATGAAAAAACTAATAGAAGAATTAGAAAACTCGTTTGGTTTGAATCATTCAGTCAACCAGAGCATTGTAGTAAAAATGTTCGTGACCCTCAACGAAAACAACGCAAGAGAAAAGAAGTGCCGAAGAACAAGGTCGAGAAGAAAATTAGGCGATGTGGGTACTGCAACGGTGAGGGGCATAACAAACTAACATGTCCTCAAGTCAAGCTAAGTTTGAGTACAAGCACACAGCCTACATCAACTGATTTTTTCGAATACGGACTGGAATGACAACGATCTCCATATAATATATCGTAAGTATCAACATGACTCCTATTGTATGTACATATAAATATTTTGAATGAAGGAAGAAAAACTGCGTTACTTAAAATTACCGACACTTTTTTAAATGGTATCGACACATTTTTCTTCCAATCTGGACATAAAGTACCGACACAATATTAAAAGTGTCGATATAGGTTGTAGACCTATTCGCTCATAAAACCGGTATATTTATACCGGTTAATTACAAATTATCTATTACATTATAAATCTGGTTCCGATGTGTAAATGTCGATACTTTTTTAAATCGTATCGACACATTTTTCTTCCAATATGGACATAAAGTACCGACACAATATTAAAAAGTGTCGATATAGGTTGTAGACCTATTCGCGCATAAAACCGGTATATATACCGATAGCATTGCAAATTTACCTATTTTATTATAATATGTTGAAAGTGTCCATACTTTTATAAAAAGGATCGATACTTTTTTTTAAAATATGTAATTATGTTTCAATTTTTTTAAGTATGTTTCATGTTTTCCACCTACAATATTAATTTAATAATTTCATTTGCACAAAAAATTAGTTGATTGTTTGATATTTTATAAAATAATATTAAGAATTTTTAATTTAATAATAATATACCGTAACGTAAAAATAAATCATTAGACGCCTATAATTACTAAATTAATATCTTAAAACTCACTCAAAAGATAACCTTAATTAATGTTTTCCACAGTGGAAAAAGTATAGACACTTTTATAAAAAGGATAGATACTTTACAATATATTAAAAAAGTATAGACACTCAAATGTATATGTACACATAGAAGCAAATATGGAATAATAATGAAAATATACACACAATAATCACACCAAATATAAATACACAAGAATGTTCAAATAATATACTGACAAACAAATTAATCCGATGAAAAAGGGTTGTTTCTAACGAAGTCCGGGAACATTAGAGGCCTTCACAAATTTTCCAAATACTCTCGTATGTTTCCGCCTTTTTCTGAGGACATACATAAATAATTTCAATTATCAAACTAATGAGGTGCAATTTTACTAACAATAAATTAAATTCGCATAAGCATGAATAAATTTGTGTCATACCTAGAGCTTTGTCGTTCGAATGGGAAGCAGCGTCAAAGGTATGTGGACATATGTAATTGTATTTCTATATAAACATAAGTTGTTAAAATAATCAATGTCTGAACACCTGTTCAACTGGAAAAACATATGCATAAATGCAACTTACCGGATTATAAATCATTTTTTCCGCTGAATCATCGACCAAAAGTGTATTTAGCTCGTTAAAATCTGGACACGCGTTCCAAACATCATTGAGATCTTTACAGTAGTAACAGAATCGTATGTTTTGCATTTTTTTTGATCCTGTTCACAAACAGTCGAACATAAATATGTAGGAATCATAGA